ATCAGGCATAACCCTTGCACTGTGTGCAATTAACAGCCATCAGATAATTTTCATATTTATTTTCTTTTCTCATTTGATCTAACAGATTCATCTTAGTAGGTTTACACAGCATGTTAATGGTAGAGTCAGGACTTGAATCCAGGTATTCTGACTCTAGCTCAAGTGTTCTGTATTTATATTTGTCTTAATATTTTAGACAAAGACTATCAACATTTAGAGTGTAGAGAAAGTTGTTTTTATTCAATGTATTTCTCCTTTATTTATTAGAGAAAAGTTGTTTCAATAAATAAAAAATAGTTATCAATTACAACATTTTAAAGGTTTTAATCTTGGTTAATTTACCCTTATCAAACATTAAGCCAAAATTACAAAACCCTTAAAAAATATGAAGGCCAAATTTGATTAGAACTTTCTTCTTAGATGCCTGCTAATCATTTCTCATAATAAGCTAGCTTTCCTCCAAAAACTCCACCATTATTTCAATTTGATGAGAATTCGATCCCTATGGAAGAAAATTGCGCTAGGAAAATAAGAAAATTAAATTAATCCTCTGACATTGGAATGATAACATTTAACTCACAATTTATTTAAAAAAATAGCAGAGTATATCTAGAGATTCAGATTACATGTGAACAAATTTACAATCTTCCAAGTTGCATTGTATTTTGAGACTGAGAAAAATCTCACTCGATAATCAATAATTCACAGAATTTTTCACATGTTAATAAAGGGGAAAAATTAACACAAGGAAAGATCCAGTATAATACCAAACATTATAAAACAGAAAAGATCCATAGTGACTTTCTAGCTACAGAGAATTCAAACAAAAGCTAGGTGTCAAGTTGCATTATACATAACTAAAAAAACTATTTGGTGATTTGGAAAAACTTCCAAATTGAATTCCTTTCAGAAAGCTAAAATCTATAACCTATTTAAAAAAATTTAGCTTCTATGTCACTCACATTACATAACAAATATAATCACTTTGCTTTCCTTCCTTATCAAGTAACCTGCTCCGTAGCAGAGCTGTCAGAGAATGGCAGGCCGTATATCATATATACAGACAACTATCATATATACATATATGTACACATATATAACATATATACACACATATATAACATATATACATATATATATATATAACAAATTCCACATTTTAAAAACTATAAATGCCAGGTTTGACTGGTATTCCAATTGAAAAGAAAAAGAAAATATATGAAGGTTTCTACATATTCTTAATAACAGGGATTGGAATGCAGCTATGATTATCTGCTTGAAGCTTCTATGAACCACGTTTTCAAAATGCTCAATGACAAAAATGAGCAAATATATTTGCTTAAAGCTAAAAATGTTCAAAGAATGCATGTTTTAAAAACAATGAAAAAATCACTAGCGTCTGTGACATGCTGAAGATAAAATGTACAAAGTTCCTGACAGACTAATAACTGGAAAAGATGTCCAAGCCTGCCACCTTGAGGGAAAATTGAGGACAATTCATTTTGAAAACAAAATTGGCATAAAGCCCTTGAACGTTGCCCATCACGATTACCCCAACTAAATAACATCACTTTAAAATTTTATGGTACAAGCGAGGAGATAAGCATGGCCTTTCAACTGGTATCTTATTATATTCTTCTGTCTTTTCTTCACAGTATTCCACATGTATTTCATTCCAATGTGCCTCCTGACTAAGGTATTATTTTAATGGAGAAAGATAGTCTTAGAGTCATTGGTATCTGAAGAAAGGATTCCTTTCTTTTCTATCTTTTCTAGTGGTTTCTTTCTCTCTCTTCAGTCTTCCTGCTTACTCTCTTCCTTCTTTTCCTAGCAATACCCTGAAAGTTCTCATGCACATCGTCCCCAGAAATATTTGTGCTTATGTGAGGACAGGCAGTATGTGGGTATGGTGGGGGATATGGTTGGAGGGTTGGAGGGAATAGAATATGACATTCTCATATGCTATTAAAATATTAATGACCGCTTAGCTTTAATGTGTTACTTTTCCCTGCATTTCAAAGAACAAAATTTATTACCAAGACATAGATTTCTAGATGTAGCTAAAAACTAGTGACTTAGATAATCTCCTCCCATGGCTCTCCACAGCCCAGGGCCTGTTTATGCCTCTGAAACCTTACAATGTATTTGGCCCAAAGACCCAACGTATACATTACACACACACACACACACACACACACAGACTCTCTCTCTCTCTCTCTCTCTCTCTCCTCTCTCACACACACACACACACTTAGAGTGAAGATTCTAAGTCAGGCTAGGTTTCTTCATCTAAATTTGATGCCTTCACTAGACCTTATAGAGTAATAGAGTTGCAAAGAAAATCTAAAAATTACCATAGAATGGTACTTACTGAGAAAGACTGATATGGTACATGTTACAGCACATAAGACTGCATCTTTCCTCCTGGCTTCAAAATCTTTCAGACCAAATATTTTAGGGAGGTCCCCCAAACTCTTTGTTTCTGATGGAGAGCACGCTTCTCTCTGGCTTCTGCATCACTTACCACAGGATCTACAGGAGGGTGGAGGGCCTGTGTCACAGAGCCATTCTTCTGGTTTTAACTGAAACATGGATATCGTCTCTCAAATCACTATTTGTCTCTCCACACCCACTTATCTGTGGGTCTGTGTGTGGGATATGTGCTTTCCTTGCTCCTCAATGTATACAGAAGTGTTCTTACTTCCTTCCTAAAAATAGCCTCAGTTCTTTTCATGCACAGGCCATCAGGTGATACAAGTTTAGCAGGAATCAGTATAGTGCCCTGGTTAAGAGGGGGTCACATTTCCTGTTTGTAAACTGTTTCAATTCCCTATGCCTTATTTTCCCCATCAGTAAAAATGGGTATCATAATAGCATTTGCCTTAAGGCATCTCTATGAGGCTTAAATAAATTCATGTTCAATATTTAGACTGGTACCTGTCACATAGCACTTCATAAATATTGGCCACTGTCACCACCTATTTCTCAAGCATATGGTAAAATTTACTGTGTAATTTGTTTGCATTCTATTATTCTGCCTGAAATGCTTTCTGCAGTGTCTCCACGGTCTCCATAGGCATAATCTCCAATGTGAATTTCTCCATGAAGTATGCCTTTGTCCCTTCAGCCAGATGTGATTTCTATTCCCATGTAAATACCCTAGCTCTATATTCCTCCTCAGTGATAATTATATTGTACTTAGCATTAGTTAGCTCCCTATTTGGTGAGTTCTTGTCTGGAGTAAGGTCACTTTTGTGTTTCTTGATACCATTTTTTTCACACAAGGTACCCTCAAGTAGTCATTGCATGTCATTACAAATACTATGGCAGACTTTGTTAAGGACCATATTAGAAGTTGATATGGTTTGGCTGTGTCCCCACCCAAATCTCATCTTGAATTGTAGCTCCCATTATTCCCAAGTGTTGTGGAAAGGACCCAATGGGAGGTAATTGAATCATGGGGGCAGGTCTTTCCCATACTGTTCTCCTGGTAGTAAGTCTCAAAAGAGCTGATTGTTTTGTAAGTGGGAGTTATCCTGGGTAAGCTCTTTGCCTGTCACCATGTAAAATGTGACTCTGCTCCTCCTTCACCTTCTGCCATGATTGTGAGGCCTCCCCAGCCATGTGGAACTATGAGTCAATTGAACCCCTTTCCTTTATAAATTACCCAGCCTTGGGTATGTCTTTATTAGCAGCATGAGAATGGACTAATACAGAAGTCTATATTCCAAAAATTTACTCTTCCCACAAAACTATTGGCAGGAACTCTCCCTTTTAGTTTCTCAAAACCGAAAGTAACACCCACAACTTCCTTATCTAATAAATAGAAAAGCTACACATAATACAGGCTAACTACAATCAAGACAAGGTTCCTAGGTAGGACATGGCAGAGGCGTTATTATATTAGCTTTCCAGTAGATTGACTCATTTAAAAAGGGAAAAACATCCTTTTGGAAACACTGAAAAGTAAACAAAGGCAGGCAGAGACTGGATGGACTCAGTGGAAAGATCTCATTGGGTGAGATCCATGTTTTTTTCTAACTAGAGGGCACACCCTAGTTAGAAACATGCAATATGATTGATTTGAGGTGTGAGACAACAAAATTTAGGACTGCTGGAGTGGCTATAAGTTAGAAGAAATCTCAGAAAAGAGGGAGGGAGTCACAGAAGAAGGGAATTCCAAAATCTGTGTACAAGTCCTGGGCTGACCTCTCAGCTGCATATGATGAAAGAAACTCTAAGATGCCCAGTGGACAGTAAGAGCTGGAAGTCTGCAAACACAGAGTAGGGATCACTTTCTTTTTTCACCACAAGACCCAAACTCTGGGGTTTGAAACCTGACAAGTTAGATGTGTTTGGTAAATACTCTTGAGTTTTCCGCGGACCTAGCCTAACCAAGAAACTCAAGCCTTCATAAGTTAAAAATGATCAGCCAGTAATTTAACTGCTTTCTATTATTATTAGAATAAAAGGAAAATTATACAGACACTCAGGCTAGTTATGAGTACACATCACGGGTATTTAAAAAGATTCGGTTTGGGCAGTCGTGGTGGCTCAAGCCTATAATCCCAGCACTTTGGCAGGCCAAGGCAGGTGGATCATGAGGTCAAGAGATCCAGACCATACTGGTCAACAAGGTGAAACCCCGTCTCTACTAAAAATACAAAAGTTAGCTGAGCATGGTGGCGTGTGTCTGTAGTTCCAGCAACTTGGGAGGCTGAGGCAGGAGAATTGCTTGAACCCAGGAGGTGGAGGTTGCGGTGAGCCGAGATGGCGCCATTACACTCCAGCCTGGGTAACGAGCAAAACTTCGTCTCAGAAAAAAAAAAAAAAAAAAAAAAAAGATTCAGTTCTATTTTAAAATGACGAATAAAGCTTAGGATTAGGTAGGTGGTAGACAGGGGAAAATGGCTAGCAGGATAGTGTGAGAGAAATAAAAATCTTCTAACACTCAGTTTAAGATAAGAAAATGTGTTAAGTAGACACAATACATTATAAAATATTATCAAACATGAATTTATTTACAAACGCAATAAAAGCATGCTATTTGAACAAACTTTTTTTATAAAGAATAAGTTGACTGAAAAAGCAGTTTTAAATGACATAAACTCACAAATGAGTTTTAGAAGTCCAAGATTTCCATTTTAGAGAATGGTATCTTCTAATAAAATACATAACTTAAAATTATATAAAACATATATTTATATTCTTAAAAATAAGAGATTGTTATTCCACCCAGAATTTTTCAATAATTGAAAGTATGCCATGTTTAACCAAAATTTGCTTCCAAATAGGAGTGTCTTTTGAGAAACTAAATATTAATTTTCAAACAACTATTTCTCCATTTGGTAACTGGAGTCATTCTTATTAAAACAAAGGTCTTTATTTCAATGTATATTAACACAGCTGAAGGCTCCAGACCTATTTTGTTTTTTACTTCCTTAAATTCATATTTACAACACATATCAATTTGAGGTATGATGACAAAAACAGAAATGAAAGACACAATGGAAGATAAGAGTCTATCTCCCTGTGGAAGAGGCAAAATAAATGTAGACTTCATTTTTCTGACCTATAAAACAAGGAAGTATAATCACATTATTTGTGACAATTTTTCTTTCTAAAATGCCATGAATTTCAAGGTAGACTTCATGCCTTTCTCCACCATATCAAGAGAGTTAAGAATATGGATTTTGGAGTCAGACTGCCTGGTTATGAATTCCAGCTCAGCCAGTTATTTTGTAATCTTGGGAAAAATACTTCATGTCTCTTTACTAAGTTTCCCCATGTGTACAGTACTGATCTCATAGAGCTGTTATGAGAATAACATGGGTAAATCACTTTGAAACAGAGGCTGATACAATGTTACATGAATTTTCAAATGAGACATCATCACTCATTATTTGTGGGAAAAGATTCTGACTATGTCATATGAATGAAGTATGGCATATGAAAAGATCCTGACTATATTCTATGGGAAGACATATTAGGTTAAATCACCTAATATATGATTACAAAACACAAAAATGAGGGTTTTTTTTTCATTTACCTTAGCTTCATACAATCCAGGAAGCATTTGAATAACATTATGATAAACAGATATAAATGATTACAAATGTTTGTGGTTAAAAACAATAAAACACTATAAGAGAGTTTAATTCAGACTAATAGTAGTTTAATTACAACACTTGAAAATGTAGCACAGTTATCTCCATCTAGTGGACACATTAAAAATTTTTACAGATAGTGCTCAGCCTTTTTTATCACTGGGGGAAAAGTTTTCAAATGGAAGTACATTACTTTCCCTAATACAGAGGGATAAAAATATAAAATAAGTTAAAGGCTATATTGCCAGTGCTCCAAAATATCATAGCTAAAATATCTTTTACTAACTTGTATATCTCAAATGTGTTTCTAAAACAAGGTAATAGAGTTAAATAGTAGTTTTGGTTTAGAAACTTAAAACATACCAAAGATAGCATGCAAGTCACCAGAAATACTTGACCACGACTCAGAAATTAATTTTAAAAAATTAGCTGTAACAAAATTAAGAATTTAAAAATCACAGAGCTTTAAAGATGTCAGACCTTTAAAAGGCATTTTACCTACTTTTTATCCAACTCTTCTTAAGCATCTTTGATAAACAGAAATCTTATATACAATGAATAAGACTCTTACTTTTTTCTGCATTTGTTTCTCTAAAAAGACTAAACAATTAGAAAATGTATGCTTTTCATGATTTGAAATCTAATTGTTGACCTCTGATTTACACTTCAGGCAATACAAAATTAAGTCCAATCTTTCAAATAATTATTCCTTAGGAGAGCTTATCAAGTTTTAGAATCTCTGCTCATCCAAATTAAACATCCCACATAATTTTAGCCATTTATCTTACAACAAAATTATAAGCAGTTATCATGTTGTTCATGCTCCTTTTAACAGTTTGTAGCATTTTAAAAAATGACTATATCCAGTACAAAAATAACATGTCATGAATGGTCTGGATAATGCAGATAGCCAACATAGATTATCACCTCTCTCTCCATATTCTACTTCAATTAAAAAATAATAAAAAGTTTTAAAAAACTTTTCATATATGAGGCAGAATATGATAGAAACTCACAGGCTTGGGAGTCATATCAATCTATGTTCATTTGGTGACAGTGTAGAATTTGGGCAAGTCACCTGATCTGCCTGACAATTAGTTTCTTCAGTGGTGAAATAGAAATCAACATCTACCTTATAAAAATATAAATGTAGCATCAAATGAGACAGTATTTGCAAATGAGCCAGTATAATACCTAAAGCATTATAAGTGTTCAATGCATGAGAGCAGCCTATCATTATTATTACTTTTCCTCCCTTTCTTTTTCATCTTATATGTGCCATATACACACATATATGGTTCAACAAAAGTGAACTGATCAAGTTTCACTGCGAAAAAAAACCACATTTAATATTTTTCTTGTTGGAAGCTGGGCACAGTGGCTCATGCCTGTAAATCCCAGCACTCTGGGAGGCCAAGGTGGGAGGATCACTTGAGGCCAGGAGTTTGAGACCAGCCCATACAACATAGTGAGACCCTGTCTTTATTCTTACAAAAAAAAAAAGAAGAAGAAGAAATTATATATATATATTTGTACACATATTACATATACACAAATTTTTATATATGAATACATATACAGGTATTTTCTTTTACTTGTTGGAAAAATACTATTCTTTTGGTTTGATAGTGATAGACTGAGCTAAAATTTAATTAATATTAAATTCATCAAAAATTTCTCTCTTATAAAAAGCACAATATACAGATATTATATTGTGGCAAAATGTCTTACCCTAGAAATAATTTTCAAATCTCAAATGATTTAGTGTTGGCTCATGGATATATGTCAAAAATATATCCTCATCTATCTATTTTTATTATAATTTTCTCAGTTATGCAAGTTTTTGTGTATTGGAAATGTTTGTTGTCAACATTAAACACATAAAAATAACCTATATAAAAGATAACTAACAGCTATTCCTAGAGTAGTAAAATGTAGCCCAACTAAATAAAACAAAGTATTTGTAATTAGTTGAAATTTCTTTTTAAAGTCTTTAACCTGTTATCGGTTGAAGGTTACTGATTTTTCTTATTTTAAATAAAAAGCAATTATTTTGAAATTATACCATATTAAAGAAACTTAACGTTTAAAGTCTTATAATCTGTTACTGGTTGAAGGTTATTTTTCTTCATTTAAATAAACATTAATTATGGTGAAAACATACCCTATCAAAGAAATACCATATTTACAAGTAAATAAATGTATAAGCATTAAATGCTAGCTGGGATGCCTCATCTTTTGGCTTCCCTGAGCCACATTAGAAGAACTGTCTTGGGCCACATATAAAATACACTAACGATAGCTGATGAGCAAAAAAACAAACAAACAAAAATCACAAAAAAAACTCATTATAGAAAGTTTACAAATTTGTGTTGGGGTGCATTCAAAGCTGTCCTGGGCCACATACGGCCTGTGGGTTGAACAAGCTTGCACTAAAGCAAAAAGAAAAATTTAACACTGGGTCAGAAAATTACACAGAAAAATGTTTAGGATGACTCTATGAAACATGATTTACTTTCTAAAATTAGCTATGGTTATATAGGATATTTTTTCTATTCACTTCGCTCTATATGAAAACTTAATTCAGTGTATATTTACTCAATATTTATCACATGACATATAAATATTATGAACATATGGCAGGGATGAATCATTTTTAAAATAAGGTTATACACATAACAACCAGATGCTGACTAGGGTTAGGACAAATACTATTCTCATTTGAAATAAAGACTAAAGACTAAACCATTTGCCTTATTGATCCCAGAGCCACAACCAAGTATGAAAATCTTAACCCCCATGTTAAATGTTTTTTCTAAAATCCCATGGTTCCTAAGTCATACTAAAATTTCCATTAAAAAAATTTTCATACTTGTATCACAATTCTTACTTGCTTCACTTTTTAATGAAATTCCAATTACTTCAAAGATCATAAATTATGGCTAAACTAATAAACACAAAATTTATTTCTTCATATGAATAAATATTTTATTTAAAAGTGAGTCCAAAATAACAGTCCACTATTTAGGTGGTACGAATAAAAACTGTAGATCCCTTCTCCTCTCCTCTCTTCCAACAATTCTAAGGAAAATAATATCAAGCCAATTGGCAATTAAGTTCAAACTAGAAATACATTTCATTAAGCTATTTATTTATTAGAAATAAATTACATTAGGCTATTTACACTAAGGTATTTTATGACTGGCTATGCACATTTCAGAAATAACTCTAAGAAGACAAAGAAAAGGTCAGTTAAAATAATTATCTTGCCAAAATGAGATGCTATATTTAAACTGAGAGATATTGTATTTCCAAACATTTAAATACATAGTCAGATGCAGTTCAAGATTTCTGACTAGCCACTAACGGAAAACATAAATGTAACAAAATACACAGCATACCTGAATCTTACTAATGCTACCTAAAGATAATATATGTTTAGAATTTCATAGAAATACACCAAAATAATAAAGACAAAATTCAAAAAGTAACACAAAATAATCCTATCCTAGCAGTTCTTCCCTCATCTACAAAATAAGGTCAGACCAAATGAATTCTCAACTTTCTTTCAATTCTAACTTTTTTTTTTCTGATACTAGAATCAAACACTAGTCCCCTTTAGCTTTATATTACCTCAAAAGTCATTTATTTTTTAACCTCTCAGTAAAGATACTGAGAGTTATTTAAAAGATATCAGCTAAGATATCTCCTGATCCAACAGTCCCACTTCTGGGCATTTATCCAGAATATTTGAAATCCATATGTCAAAGAGAAGTCTGCACTCCATGTTCATTGCAGACAAGTCACAATAACCAAGTTATTCAGTCAATGTAAGTGTCCATCATGGATGAATGGATAAAGAAAATATGGCATGTATATACACAGATACAAAATAAAATACTCAGCCTTTAAAAAGGTAGAATTGTGTAATTTGTAACAATATGGATGAACTTGGAGGACATTACGGTAAGTGAAATAAGCCAAGCACAAAAACGGCAACCACATGATCTCACTTATTTGTGTAATCTAAAGCAATTAAACTCATAGAATGAGAGAGAGGAATGATGGTTACTAGAGGCCAGGGAAGTGGGAATGGGGAGATGATAATCAAAAGACACAAAGCTTCAATTAGATAGAAGAAATATGTTTGATTTTTTTTAGAAGTATTACAAAACACGGTGAATACAGCTAATAATTAAGCACTGTACATTTCAATACTGCTGAGAGTAAATTTCAAAAGTTTTCATCACAAAATATGTCAAATATTTTAGGTGATGGATAGGTTAATTAGCTTTATTTAACTATCCCACATTATATTCAGAAATGGTAACACCACTTTGTACCTCATAAGCATATACAACTATAATTCGTTGATATATAATTTAAAAATGTAAAAAGATAGTCTCCTATCCATTCATCCTAACAATTATACGAGGATTATCCTAAAATGTCTTTTAAAAGTATCCCATGAAAAGACATGGATTCATAGAACCTGTGAATATGAACTTACTTGGAACATGGGTCTTTATACACATAATTAAGGATCTCCACACAATCATCCTAGATTAAGGTGGGCCCTCAATTCAAAGACAGCCTTTAAAAGGTAATAAAGAAAAGACAGGGAGAAAGGCCATGTGAACACAGAGGCAGAGACTGGAGTGAAGACTGTGGTCTGCAATCCTTGGACAAGATTTGTCCATAAGCCAAGTAACTCCAAGAATTGCAGACAGCCACAAGATATTAGGAGAGAGACATGAAATGGATTATTCCTTAGAGCCTCCAGAAGAAACCAACGCTGCTGACACTTTGATTTCAGACTTCTGGCCTCCAGACTGTGAGGAAAATTGTTGTAAGCAACCAAGTTTGAGGTCATTTATTATGGGAGCCATGGGAAACTAATACAATATGTATTTCAGAAAGAAAATCTCCCTTTTAAGGGTATTATCAACACAATTTGTCTTTGGCCATCATACCCTCCATAGTAGGAATTAATGAAAGAGCTTCATCATTTATAGATTTTAAACAATAACCAACAATTTGATGCCTAGATAGACATATATGAGTTTCTATTATTTACTATCTATGCATGTCTATTTTGACCTAGATTTCAAATTATATTTACTGAAATGTTAAGCAACTTTTCAATCAAGATAATCACCTGATAATTTTTGTTAAATATCTGCTAATACTTTGTTATTAGGTTGGTGCAAAAGTAATTGTGGTTTTGCCATTACTTTCAATGGCAAAAACCACAATTATTTTTGCACCAACCTAATATTTCTCTCTGGAGAGAATAAATTAGTTCCAGTAATATGAAGCATACCCAGTTTTAATAAACTTGAACATACAAAACATTCCCAAGCTTTTTGAGGGGCCAACATTATTAGAGAGATATGAGATAACTGAAAACAATTTTATTTTCCCATTATTCAGGCTTTTCAAGCAGGTCTTAAGCTCTCTCAGTGCTCTGCCACTTAATTTCTTATATATGTTTAAAACAGATATAAAAATATCTAATGTAATCACCGTTGTACCAGAAAGAAAGTTTATAATTTCTATCTATTCAGTTGTTCATTGCAGAAAGGGTCTAATTATTAAGTCCACTTTTACAGTTCAAAATATCACTGATATTACCACATAAACCTTTGAATGTCCTGACTATTTGGCCACTGAAAAGTCTTGTTCAGAAAGATGTAAAAAGTTATGAAATTAACAACTGCATAGCAACTCAGTTCACAAAGGAGTCTGGATGTGGGAGGCAGAGGTACATTAAGCCTATAAATGACATAAGGTAAAATAAAGTAGCGAAATTCCAGCAGTTTCTGAGGAACTATAACAATGAACAAACATATGAAAAACATTAAATTCCAAAAAATTGACTTTGATTTCAATGAGTCAGCTATACTCCAACCAGCAAATATATAGGCTGGAACTAACAAATATTTCACAATTTCGTATCTTTGAAAAACTCTTTTCCACACATAGAATGTATAATGTCTATTGTCTGCTAGCAAGTATTTATGAGCATAAGTGAATTTCCAAACTAAAAACACAGAGACTAAGGTAACCACAAAAAACAGAATTCTACGTTTCCAAACTAAGGAAAGAAAAGTCTTAATTTTGCTAAGAGACAGGAGATGAGGAAAGGAAAAAAAGAGAGTAAATGAAAAAAAGTAGAACAGTTGAGGAAAATGAAGACAGGCTTCATGACTACTCCGATCGCCAATAACAATTCCACCATTAAGTACTACAAAAGCACAAAACAGAAATCCCAGAAGGATGTATGGCCAAGTCAGACGGAAAAGCATACTCAAGTTTTTGAAGGACATAGAATAAGCCACAAGAAACTGAAGAATTTTTCGGAATTCTGCAAATGGTCCTTTAATAGGTGGAAGTCTGTTTTCTTTCTTTTGTAGCTCAGTTTTCCAAGCCTCAGTTAACTTTTGTGCAATGACATTTCCTGCACAGAAGACAGCCCAGATGATATTTGTTTGCCGAAACATGAAGCCACAAAATCCAAGCAAGGCTGAAGTTTTATGATTTCCATAAAGACACATCAAATACGCAAAAAGAGTGAAAAACATAGATCCCACTTCTGTATAATAAAGGAAGTTAAAAAAATAAAGTGTTGGAAATACTGCTAGCGTTAATGTTGACAAGACTCTCTGGATACTTGAGGCAGCCTTGGAGGAAGAAAAAACACAGATAAAATTATTTTCATGATTTAAAAAATGCTATTTCTGCTTACCTAATGAAAAGACTTATTTAAAAACTACTCGAACCTCATTTAAATAAAATTAATCAATATTAATCTTATCTCTGGCTCTACAAAAACACAACATACATTTATAAGAACACTTCCTGGTACTTTTTATTTATACCTATCAGTTTGGAGATCATGTGTATGCCAAAGCTTACATAGGTTAACACAATTTGAATCAGGCAATGATTAGTTAAGAACTTATTGAGCGCAAGACACTAAGTTCTATGGAGACTACGGAAATAAACAGGACACAATGCTGATGGCTCCATTTCCCTGAGCTTACGTTTTAGTGCCTTCAATAAGGATTCACTTGGCCATAATCACTGTATTCCTTTAAGTATATCCTTCATAACTGTACACAAGGGAGAATGTAAACATGCATATGGTATTTATACTATCATACCCAACTTAAATTTTTCATGATGAAATTTTTATGTTGAAATAACAGGTATTTTTCTGAAAATAGTGAGCCAGTCTAAAGTTATATATCTTCTTTTGGCCTTTCTGACATACTTTTATTTCAGAATTTCAAAGTGTTCTTATCTTCTTGCATTGTATCCTTCACTTAATCTAAATCACCAAATCAGAACACGCCAGTTCCTTGATTAAAATTAAGGTCTCTCCATTACACGCTGAAGTTCAAAGTCCTCTCTGTGACATATAAGAGCATTCATGACCTACTCCTCTAGACTTACATCCCTCTAATTTCTAATCTTGCAATTCCAAAGACCAACTCCCTGCACTTTGTTGTCCAATGCCTTTCTTCTTTTGCTTGTGCTGTTTGTCTCACCAAGATTAATTCCCCACCCTACAGCCCTATCTATTCATCAAGACTCCACTCTGGTACCAACTTCTCTGTGAAGACTTACAATGCCACCTACTCCCCTCTCCCCAAGAAAAGCAGTAAGTGTTTCCCTGCTCCTTCTCTGTATCCTCATAGCATCTTATATCTATCACTCTATCATAATTGATACTACTGAAATCATCTCTTAAGATTAAAAATAATTATTAGAGTTAATATTTACTGAGTCCTTACTATATATCCAGCACTCTTCTAAGAATCTTCCATTTATTAAGCTTCTTTATTCCTCTGTAACAGTTCTATATGGCAGATTCTATTATTATTCTTATTTAATAGATGAAGACATGGAACCACTAAGGGGTAACCTGCCCAAGGTAACAAAACTGGTAAGTGGCAGGGAGAGAATTCTAACCCAGGCAATCTACCTCCAGGGCCTGCACTGTTATAACATCAAAATTCCTCAGGTAAAGTCTGTTTTCCCTAAGTTTTACAAGAAAAAAGCTGTCTCATTTATCTCTGTAGCCCCAGTTCCTAGCACATGTAATAAACTCAGCAGGTATTTATTGAACTGGCTTGATTCGCCTAACAAATATTTACTTTAGATTTTACAAATTAAGTTATTCAAGTATTTAAATACAAATTTATTCTAACATGGAGATGGAGGATTTAAATTTACCTTTACAAAATATACAAAAATACAGTGTTACACCAAATCTCCTAAAATAAATTCATCGTAATTGTGGACCTGACTATGCATAAACTTGTAATTAACTATTTTGAAACATACCTTGTTTCTGGGTTGTACCTTGCGGAAAAGCAAATATAGTAAATAGAAGTTGCCAACGCTGAAGAGAAGATTAACAAATCTGAGCATACCAATGGAGCAGACAACATGTTCAGACCATCCAAAGATCCAACTGGCAGGTTTGACCACTCCAACTGACACCAGGTATAAGCCAGGTAATGTAGTAATCATGGGATCCCACTTTAAAATGAAAGAAAATACAGTCGAAGCAAGAGGTAACATGAACAAGGCAGACACAAACATGTCAAGCCCAAGTCTCATCTCCAGCCACAATCAGAAATTTCGAGAAGTTATTCTATAACAAGATTAAATCGGTCCTTAGCAGAACAGGATTAGTTTTTCTTATTTTTTACCCTTGGACCTGCTTAGTGATTGTTCAGGTGGCAGCAACCAATAAATAACAACTTAAAATCAATTTCTATTTTCCAAGAAATTTTTTTGAGAAAGCCTTTATTTTGGTAACTAAACTGCAAACGCTCCAGTTTTAAAAAGCATGAAAACATTCGTTAGGGCTCTAAGTTTAGGAAAACATTTGGGCTACAGGCTCCATAATGACAGCTAATAGGAACTGAGCCAGAAATTGTGCAAAACCCTCTGTATTAACCTTACAACATGCTCTGTAGTAGAGATTATTATTGTCATTTTGCAGATGAGTAACCCGAATTTCTGAAACTCAGAACACGTCCAAGATCACAAAACTAGTAAATCACAGCACCATGATTTACGATCAGGTCTTTCTTTAAAACAGACTTCATATTTCCAGCCAGTACCCTACATTGTGTCACCAGAAAAGGAGGGGGTGTTTATTTTGATGTTTATTATGTATATACTTGCACAGTCAAATATATACTGAAAAATGATATGACTTGAGTGGGTTGCCAGTTTATCCAGTTAACAGATAGTTCACTAAAAATACCCAGGGAAGGAATTTGTGATTGTAAATTGTTACTTTTTGGTAGCTGAAGATCCCTCCAGTCCACCCTATCCCATCCCTAAAATGCATAGTGAGGTGTTTGACAGGTAAGTTAAAGGGAAGTTTTCTGATATTTCCAAGGAGCACCCTAAAGCCTTTAATCCTGAGACAAGGAAAGACAAAGTGGGATAGATATCGTCAGCTGCCAACAGGGGCGCTCAGTTCCCCATTAAGTATTCTACCAGATCATTCCTTCCTGGGAGACAGATCTGCTGTTTATTCATTAATTTAACAAATATTTCACAAATCTCAGAGACAGGAACAAAACACAGTTTCTTTCATGTTTTGAGGCTGGAAGGGTGGAACGGGGCGAGTTAAGTCTAAGACTGGGAGAAGGACCCGGGGACGCTGGGCCCTCTCAGGCCGGTCCTAGGGTGGGGACAGGTTGGGAACCCCACCTGGGAAAGGGAGAAATGGCCCTCACAGTAGCGCTGCGCCTGAGGCAGGTGGAAGATCTCGTCCATGTAGGGCTCTCGCAGCGCCCGGCTGAAGGCGGAGAAAAGGAGGCAAGACACTAAAAAGGTACAGCTTAACGCAGCCGAGAAATAGTAACCCTCTAGCTGCGCCATTACTGCTCCCAGAGCCACTGGCCAAAGACCCACTCCTGGAAAATTCTGAGCAAGGAAACCCGAGCTGGAAACTTCGGCTCGAAATGGGCGCGCTAGGCGGGACTAGCCGGACGGGTACACATACCGGAAGGCAAAGGATGCTGGGAGAGCGCGGATCCGGAAAGATCGGGTCTCTGTTTCCTGGGTGACGGGTTTGATAACGGACCGGATGATTACACTGTCAATCACATTGCCCGGGGCGCACTGAGCGTCAGAACTTCCGGAAAGGGCGGGTCTCGGAATTCGCCGCGCGGGAAGTACGCGGCTTGCTGCTTTAAAAAAAAGCGGCTTCTTAGGTTGGATCTGTTTTTCTCCTGCTCATATCCATTTTTTACCAGAAGATGGCGAGGTATCCCCACGTTTCCAATAATTCCAAGCCCCAAAGTTTACACCTTTTCCCCCAGTTATTTCTGTTATTTTTCTCCGAATTAAACCCTCAATTTCAAGACATTTTATTCCCTCAGCTTTGGAGGGTATGAAGGGGGCGTTGGTTGTGATAGCAAAGATTGTGACTTGCAGATGAAAACTTTAAGAACCAGAGACCCTTCAGTACCAAATGAAGTTCATGAGAGGTGAGAGGAGGTTTTTGTTTATTTGTTTGTTTTGAGGTAAATAGAGAACTCTTCATTCCTAGTGCACTCTGGTAGCCATATCTCAGTACCCTGTAGGATTTGGGGAAAAAAAAAAAAAAAAAACTTTAGAATTTTGGGATGTTTTAGGTAAGGAAGAATTCTCTGTGCCTGTAAATTTGGTTGTTAATGTCTGTATGGCAGCGTTCTATTTTTCCTACTAAATCGTAGGCGTGAACATCTTAATGGGTGGCACTATACATCCTTTATGTTTGTAGTCCCCCAGATAGCTCTAACACAGGCACTTAAATTTGTAGACTTTTATAGGCTGTGTAGACATCATAAAATTCCTGTATTCTGGGATTAGGGTTTGGGGGCAGGAGATGAGGTAAATTATTTGAAGAATGCTGGAGTTAAATTATGTGTTATGATTTTGTCTTGAGCATGGCTGGCCATATTTTGTAGAAAAATGATCTCTCAGGTAACCTCAGTCAGGTCGCCTTTGGCAAAAATATATCAGAAAGGAGTGAGGATTTAAGGTCGCAAATCACGAAGTTATCAATTGAGCTCTTTTTCTGGGTCAAAACTAATTCAGTCTTTCTGAACTTAAGAACATTTCTTAAATTAAGCTGACTGCCTTTCTATTCTGTCTCTGCCATTTCCTTAATTATAAGAGGAGGTAGTGGTGAATGAGGGCTGGGATGGGAACATTTACATTTCTGGAATAAAATCATGTGAGGATCTTACTCTGATGTGATGCTTAGTTTTGTTTTAACTATGATCTCCTATTTTATTATTGAGTCCATGCTGAACTTATCTGTTTAAGTTACTTGTAACACATCTCCAGATGATTCAGTCTTCAGGAGGTTGATACCTACAAGTAATTAGCCCCTGACCGGTTGACTTGTTAAATCGTGTTGTATATACTCTGCAGCTTCCCGACCTACCCTAGAAATAGTGGGTAGTTTCTAAAGGGAGTAGAACAAGACTAGACATTTATGCTATCCATTTTTCTTTATAATAATTGCCACCAAGAGTTTACGTTAAACATTTGACTCCTATGCATGCTGCACACATCCCTTTGCATGAAATGGAGTTTCAAGGAAATAGGGGGTTTTAGAATTGCTAGGGATCTTTATTAATAATCTACTTGACTTCAATTTATAGAAGTTGAAGTTTAAAAATGAACGATTTACCTAAAATTACAGCAAAAATCAGTGTTGGAACCAAGTGTAGGAATTAGAACATTAGACCAAGAGCAATAAAATAACTTCATAGCCTTATAGTTTAAAATAATCTACAATGTATACTGAACTGAATGTTCCTCTAGCCCCAATAAGTTTACATTTACATTGCATTCTCCTCTGTTTCCATAAACAAAGTTGAAATACAAGTTTCACCTTTTGTTTTGTTTTGAGTCAGAGTCTCGCTCTGTAGCCCAGGCTGGAGTGCAGTGGCACGATCTTGGCTCACTGTAACCTCTGCTTCCCGGGTCCCGGTTCAAGCAATTCTCCTGCCTCAGCCTCCTGAGTAGCTGCAATTACAGGCATACGCCACCATGCCCAGGTATTTTTTGTATTTTTAGTAGAGACGGGGTTTCACCATGTTGGCCAGGCTGGTCTTGAACTTCTGACCTCATGATCTGCCCGCCTCAGCCTCCCAAAGTGCTGGGATTACAGGTGTGAGCCACCATGGAGGTTTCCTCTTTTTAAAAATGTTCATTTTACAGACTTATTACATCAAAATCTGTTGGTGGATCGTTGTGAAAAACTAGATTCTAGAGTGCCATCTCAAATCACTGAATAATAGTCTTATGTTTGGAAATCATCAATGTGAAACATATTCCCTAAGAATGCTAAGAAGTTCCATGGGCCCAGTAGAATTCTTTATAGAATACTTCACTCATTTGTTAGTGAATTACTTTTAGTATCTGCAAATCGGTGAAGCTATTATCATGTTTCTAATCTTAGATTATTACATCTTTGATAATCTTGAAATGCTTTCCAAAGTTCTGAGCTCTGCTTCTAAATCAAGACCTATTAAAATAGCTACCTCTGGGATTTTAATGAAATAAATTACATTTTATTAGACCTATCATTTAAAACTAGATCACTTTTAATATTCAACTTATATTCTCCTTTAAGAATTCCAACTCCCATTTTCCATGGATGTTTATTTTGTGAAAAAGAATTATTAGGATCTGCAATCCTATTATCATTGCACAGCAATTATTTATTTGTGCTACTTGAATTATGATAAAGAAGTTATGAGAGAAAAATGGGCAATTTTTGTTGGGGTCTAAGGATAGGTTGTTTGAGCAAGAAATAAATCTTTTCTGGTTTTTAAGCCATTACGATTTTGAATTTATTACTGCTATATAATCTAGCTTACTTTGATCAATTCAGACATTCCTTATTTGATGAAGTCACATAACATTGCCATGTATGAACAGTGAATTTTCCCAAAGGCTGTAACTATAATAACTTTGAAGTATTAGTCCAAGAAATACCCTGCCTCTTATTGCACCCCTTTTCACTTGTTGCTGAATGAAAACACAGGCCACTTGGTAATCATAGTGATGGTTTACTCATTTCTGGGTGACAATTCGTTCTAGCTACAGCAGAGTACTGCACCCTGGGCCAAGATCCCAGACAATAACCTCTAAAATGCAACTCAACCCTTGAAGTCAATCTTAACATATCGATTTAAAACCTAAACTTTAAAGTTAATGAATCAATTAAAAACACACACACATTTTAGTACAAAAGCATTAGCAAGTATTTTAGCTCTACTGAAAATGTCTTGAAGACATTGTATAGGGGACTGGTTAAACCTAAGTTAACACACACACACACACAGAGAGAGAGAGACTCTTATAAAAGACAATAGTATTTATTTGGGATTGAGCATTACAGTAAGGATACAATGAACATAGGGAGGTAAAAGAAGACAAAGAATTTTAAAGGAAAAATGAAGAGAGTTACATGAATTGCTTTGAGACAATTATCCTTGGTTACAGGGACTGGTAACAAGGGCGGCACCAGTTTGAGGTTGGACAGGCAGTTGCAGAGCAAATGTCCTTGCAGAAGTAATTTTTTGTGAGATTGTGGTGGCTTTTGTGCAAAGTTGTGGTTTGTGCAGTCTTTTGTTGTAGTTCCTGTTGTCTGGCATACATGCATGTAAACCCTTCCTTTCTGGTCTTCCCTAGTTTGATTTTTCAGGGTTTTTATGCAAGTGACCCCATTTTGATTCTGCTAACTTTCATAGAACAAATATTCCTGGTTTGTGGCAGACTTTCCAGTTTTAGCCTTGAAAGTCTCAGGCCAGGTAAATTCTGTAGTCTTAAAGTGAGATGGTTGGTGATATGGTTTGGCTGTGTCCCCACCCATAGTCTCCATAATCCCCATGTGTCAACAGAGAGGCCAGATGGAGGTAATTGATCATGGGAGCAGTTTCTCCCATGCTGTTCCCATGTTAATGAGTGAGTTTTCATCTGATGGTTTTATAAGTGTTTGGCAGTTCTTCCTGCATTCATTCTCCTTCCTGTTGTCTTGTGAAGAAGGTGCCTTGCTTCTCCCATCCCCTTCCCCCATGATTGTAAGTTTCCTAGGGCCTCCCCAGCCATGCTGCTCTGTGAGTCAATTAAACCTCTTTCTTTTATAAATTACCCAGTCTGCAGCAGTTCTTTATAGCAGTGTAAAAACGGACTAATACAGTTGGTCATTTAGAAAGATATATCATACAACCCAAAGCAAAACTTCCTAAATATTTTTTAATAACAGTTGTTCTTAAAGTGTGTTCCCTGTACCACAACATTAGCATCACCAGGGAACCTATTAGACATGCAAATTATCAAGTCATGCCTTAGACCTACTGAACACAAATTCTGAAAGCAGAGCCCAGTAATACATATTTTAACATTCATTTTGTAATCAATTATAATTCCCTTAGATTCCCAGGTGGACCTGATGCCCATGAAAGTTAGAGAATACTGCTGTCCTTTACATTTCCCTTGCTTTTTTGATCACTCATGCTGCTTTGTCCCTAGCTTCTCCAATTCTTCGTCTCCAGGCTTCATCCTACCAAGAAACAAAGTTCATTGCCAATGAACATATAGACTAGTTCCTCCTTAGCAGCTGAAGAAGAGGAACTTAAATACTTACAATTTAATAGTTTTTAATAATATATATTTATATTCAGACAGATGTCTTTTCTTTCAAAAAAAACTATGTAAAGGGAAACTGCTTTTTGCTAAAATAGGTAGCTCAAACACCCTAGTCCTACAGCTATTGCTGCCAGTTAGATAAGAAACATTCCTGGAAAAAAAAAAAAAAGACTTCATGAATTCCTTTTCTTTTAAACTGCATAAAATTTAAGAGAATCATAAATTGATTATTAAATGAATTGGGCCATTATACTAATGAAATTATAGTACTATTAAATTAACCAAGGTAAAAAGTTAAAGGAGAAGACATTGAATTAATTCTAATTTTTAAATAATTTTACAGTTTAAGAGACACAGCAATAGATCTTACTAATTTTAAATTTTCTGATACAATTGTTATTACTGAAAAGAGAGTTTATGTGAAATATTGACGATGGTTTCTGGTTAATACCAGTTTGGTTTTAGAAGCAGTGTAAAACAAGTGGGCATCTTTAGGCTGAGCATTAGATACCCTGCACTGGCTAAAAGTTTGGCATACATT